TCTAGTTATTAAGGCCCCTATATTCGCCGGAAATTGAATCCCTAATCAAGCCCTAAACTCAAACCCTGCAGCCGCACCCACAAACGTTGAACCTTGTTAGTCCTATAGTAGCTTTATAGTCACTTCTAGTACCCCTTCTATAGTAACATTATAGAGATCTGCCAGGGTAAAATCTCATGCCCATACCCTAAATCCGAAACCCCACATGCGAAACCCTATTTCCTAAACCCTAAACCCCACTCTGCGAGGGTTTATGGACGTGCTTTCATAAATCAAAGCTCCCGCTAAGGACCTAGAAATGTTGAGCGGCGCGTCCGACGGCGAAGGATAGGAGTTTTGAATTGTTTCTGGTAGGGTTTGAATATGATTGGTCATTGCACTTGTTTTTTCAGGGGGGTGGTGAGAGGATTTTGTGCAGTTTTGCTGGTGTTGCTGGTTTTTCGAGGTGCGCGATAGGAGCCCTAATCATGGTACTACTTCACTGCTACTGTACTATTACTGTACTATTGGCGGACGTACCGTACTACTACTGTAGAGTACCAGACCTCAGGCTTGGTCGATTGTGGTTCGGAGTGCAGGCTCGATTCAGAATGAAAGGTTGTGAGTCTTGGCAGGGACCTTATATCGACCGAGGTTTGGGTTCCAACTTGTGGTCATCCTCAAACCCCGCTAAACAGCTTGAGGCATCCCTAAACCCTCGTACAGTACTACTACTGTACTACTACGTACTGTACTACTACGGTACTGCTACTGTTCTGTAATACTACTACTGTACTACGTACTACTGTACTTTTATTGTACTACTGTACTATTACTATACTACTATTGTACTGTTATTGTACTACTACAGTACCATGACTGTACTGCTGTACTACTACCACTGTACTACTACTGCACCACTACTGTAGTACTGCGGTACTGCCCTACTAACCTGCTATTGCTGTACTGCTACTATACCATTACTGTACTACTACTGTTCTACTACTGAACGACTGTACAGCAACCTCAGACTTGGTGGATTGTGGAGGGGAGGAAGTGTAGGTTGGAGGAAAAAGTCTTCAACATGAAATGTTCTAAACCCTAAACCCTAAACCACCCTAATAACCTTGTCGTTATCTTGGAGTGATCGGGGCTTGGTTTCGAGCTTTTGGTGATCCCCANNGGGGGGGGGGGGGGGGTATTAAATAGACCGCCGCATTACACCGCAAACACCCGCAGCACAACCTGCACTACACGAACCATAAAGAACCATAAAGCGAGGGAGAGCCAGACAAAAAAGGAGCCCTTGCAGGAACCCTTGAAAGAACCGCTGCACTCCAAACCCTAAACCCTTAAGCCTAAA